TCTTTTCTCACTTCTCCGACCAAACAATCATATTTATACTATGGGAACCTCATTTGCCAGTAAAAATATGATAATTGGTTCTTTACCCTTCTATCTGGCAACAAAACTGACACCTTTTTACAAGGAGTCATGTTTGCATAGACCGCAATACCTGCAGTCATAATACAAACAAAAGAACATAACTCTGATAATGTGCACTGTCCTTGAAGTTGATTGGTCCACACCCGAGACAGCTTTCCGTTGAGCCTAGTCTCATATGGGTTGGACCAGATGACGCCAAAAGGCGCACAATTCAAGGACAATGCACCATCAGAGTATGAGAGCTCGGGGCAAGCATCTACACTATGGGAACCTCATTTGCCAGTAAAAATATGATAATTGGTTCTTTACCCTTCTATCTGGCAACAAAACTGACACCTTTTTACTAGGAGTCATGTTTGCATAGACCGCAATACCTGCAGTCATAATACAAACAAAAGAACATAACTCTGATAATGTGCACTGTCCTTGAAGTTGATTGGTCCACACCCGAGACAGCTTTCCTTTGAGCCTAGTCTCATATGGGTTGGACCAGATGACGCCAAAAGGCGCACAACTCAAGGACAATGCACCATCAGAGTATGAGAGCTCGGGGCAAGCATCTACATTATGGGAACCTCATTTGCCAGTAAAAATATGATAATTGGTTCTTTACCCTTCTATCTGGCAACAAAACTGACACCTTTTTACAAGGAGTCATGTTTGCATAGACCGCAATACCTGCAGTCATAATACAAACAAAAGAACATAACTCTGATAATGTGCACTGTCCTTGAAGTTGATTGGTCCACACCCGAGACAGCTTTCCTTTGAGCCTAGTCTCATATGGGTTGGACCAGATGACGCCAAAAGGCGCACAACTCAAGGACAATGCACCATCAGAGTATGAGAGCTCGGGGCAAGCATCTACACTATGGGAACCTCATTTGCCAGTAAAAATATGATAATTGGTTCTTTACCCTTCTATCTGGCAACAAAACTGACACCTTTTTACAAGGAGTCATGTTTGCATAGACCGCAATACCTGCAGTCATAATACAAACAAAAGAACATAACTCTGATAATGTGCACTGTCCTTGAAGTTGATTGGTCCACACCCGAGACAGCTTTCCTTTGAGCCTAGTCTCATATGGGTTGGACCAGATGACGCCAAAAGGCGCACAACTCAAGGACAATGCACCATCAGAGTATGAGAGCTCGGGGCAAGCATCTACATTATGGGAACCTCATTTGCCAGTAAAAATATGATAATTGGTTCTTTACCCTTCTATCTGGCAACAAAACTGACACCTTTTTACAAGGAGTCATGTTTGCATAGACCGCAATACCTGCAGTCATAATACAAACAAAAGAACATAACTCTGATAATGTGCACTGTCCTTGACGTTGATTGGTCCACACCCGAGACAGCTTTCCTTTGAGCCTAGTCTCATATGGGTTGGACCAGATGACGCCAAAAGGCGCACAACTCAAGGACAATGCACCATCAGAGTATGAGAGCTCGGGGCAAGCATCTACACTATGGGAACCTCATTTGCCAGTAAAAATATGATAATTGGTTCTTTACCCTTCTATCTGGCAACAAAACTGACACCTTTTTACAAGGAGTCATGTTTGCATAGACCGCAATACCTGCAGTCATAATACAAACAAAAGAACATAACTCTGATAATGTGCACTGTCCTTGAAGTTGATTGGTCCACACCCGAGACAGCTTTCCTTTGAGCCTAGTCTCATATGGGTTGGACCAGATGACGCCAAAAGGCGCACAACTCAAGGACAATGCACCATCAGAGTATGAGAGCTCGGGGCAAGCATCTACACTATGGGAACCTCATTTGCCAGTAAAAATATGATAATTGGTTCTTTACCCTTCTATCTGGCAACAAAACTGACACCTTTTTACAAGGAGTCATGTTTGCATAGACCGCAATACCTGCAGTCATAATACAAACAAAAGAACATAACTCTGATAATGTGCACTGTCCTTGAAGTTGATTGGTCCACACCCGAGACAGCTTTCCTTTGAGCCTAGTCTCATATGGGTTGGACCAGATGACGCCAAAAGGCGCACAACTCAAGGACAATGCACCATCAGAGTATGAGAGCTCGGGGCAAGCATCTACACTATGGGAACCTCTAGTGTAGATGCTTGCCCTGAGCTCTCATACTCTGATGGTGCATTGTCCTTGAGTTGTGCGCCTTTTGGCGTCATCTGGTCCAACCCATATGAGACTAGGCTCAAAGGAAAGCTGTCTCGGGTGTGGACCAATCAACTTCAAGGACAGTGCACATTATCAGAGTTATGTTCTTTTGTTTGTATTATGACTGCAGGTATTGCGGTCTATGCAAACATGACTCCTTGTAAAAAGGTGTCAGTTTTGTTGCCAGATAGAAGGGTAAAGAACCAATTATCATATTTTTACTGGCAAATGAGGTTCCCATAGTGTAGATGCTTGCCCCGAGCTCTCATACTCTGATGGTGCATTGTCCTTGAGTTGTGCGCCTTTTGGCGTCATCTGGTCCAACCCATATGAGACTAGGCTCAAAGGAAAGCTGTCTCGGGTGTGGACCAATCAACTTCAAGGACAGTGCACATTATCAGAGTTATGTTCTTTTGTTTGTATTATGACTGCAGGTATTGCGGTCTATGCAAACATGACTCCTTGTAAAAAGGTGTCAGTTTTGTTGCCAGATAGAAGGGTAAAGAACCAATTATCATATTTTTACTGGCAAATGAGGTTCCCATAATGTAGATGCTTGCCCCGAGCTCTCATACTCTGATGGTGCATTGTCCTTGAGTTGTGCGCCTTTTGGCGTCATCTGGTCCAACCCATATGAGACTAGGCTCAAAGGAAAGCTGTCTCGGGTGTGGACCAATCAACTTCAAGGACAGTGCACATTATCAGAGTTATGTTCTTTTGTTTGTATTATGACTGCAGGTATTGCGGTCTATGCAAACATGACTCCTTGTAAAAAGGTGTCAGTTTTGTTGCCAGATAGAAGGGTAAAGAACAAATTATCATATTTTTACTGGCAAATGAGGTTCCCATAGTGTAGATGCTTGCCCCGAGCTCGCATACTCTGATGGTGCATTGTCCTTGAGTTGTGCGCCTTTTGGCGTCATCTGGTCCAACCCATATGAGACTAGGCTCAAAGGAAAGCTGTCTCGGGTGTGGACCAATCAACTTCAAGGACAGTGCACATTATCAGAGTTATGTTCTTTTGTTTGTATTATGACTGCAGGTATTGCGGTCTATGCAAACATTACTCCTTGTAAAAAGGTGTCAGTTTTGTTGCCAGATAGAAGGGTAAAGAACCAATTATCAATCATATTTATCTTTATGTTGAGTTTCATAGTGTCGACGTAAATTGTATTCTTTGAACACAGACACTATTTTCTGGCATATCAGACACACAGCTCTTTCCTTGTACTGCATGAAAAAGTAATCATAAGTCCACTGTTTTTTGAATATCCTACACTCCGAGTCAATTTTTCTCTTTCTTGACATCATTGTTTCCTAGGGAGTCAAAATTGCTATTAGTAAAATACCAATATATATACAGCGCTACAAAAACAATATACCAGCAATAACTTTGCCCACACAGATACATACAGACTGCACTGCCCATCAATGCAGTCTGATTGGGGGAACTCCGCTTTTACCCCAGGCTCACACTGGTGCGGGTGCCATTAAAAAGTGAATTACACCTGCAGTTTTGTTCACAGATCGCAGTGCGATCTGCGAACTCGCATAGGAATCTGATCGCATGGGGGAGAAGACCCATGCGATCCGATTCCACTGCAGGAAAAAAGAAGGCACATGTGCCTTTTTTCTTCCGAATCTAATGCAAGTTCAGCCATACAAGCATATGGCTGAACTCGCACTGCTCAGAGATCGCAACAGTATGAACCGGGGCTTACACAACATACAACATATAACCTCATATAATTGAATAGCAATCAGAATATAAATGCACTTACTGTCATTTAAATTGGGTTTCCTACTCCTCGGCTGTCTGTCACTGACCAGCACGGGAAAACAGCAGGCAGCCCCTCCAGAGATCAGAGATCACTCTGTTATTACCCCTCTATCATTTATTCAGCACACAGGAATTTCACTGGGAGTGGAGCCGAGGGGCAAGTGAGGGAGCTGAGGGAGAGAGAGCCAGTCAAGCGCAGCCAGGGGAGGGCTGGCAGCCTTAGGCTTGGGGGGCAAGTCCAGTCAATTGGCCCATTGAACCATTCACCAGCGCAGCCCAATGAGTGCCCACCGCCGCAGCTCAATCAGTGCTCACCAGCGCAGCCAAATCAGTGCTCGCAACCGCAGCCCAATCAGTGCCCACCACCGCAGCCCAATGAGTGCTCACCAGCGCAGCCCAATTAGTGCTCACCAGCGCAGCCCAATTAGTGCTCACAAGCGCAGCCCAATTAGTGACCATGGGCCGGATAAATGCCCTCGGTGGGCCGCATGTGGCCCGCGGGCCGTAGTTTGAGGACCCCTGCTGTAGAGCAAGTGTTGTTAGTCAGCAATAGCAGCGCCTATGAAGGCCGGCACTGAGGCACACGAGGGGGTTAGTGGCTAATCACTCGCGCCCGCCCGGCCGCCTTTGCCTCCCGAGTGGCGTTGTTTACACACCGCACCAAAAACTCATTTAAGGCGAAGTGGATTTAGGGGAGGCCCAGTACCGGTTCAGATAATCACCACTGGTGTTGACTGTGAGCGGGAATCGAAATCAGATCCCCGGGTTCGTCGCCCAGCGCGATAACCGCTACAGTACCACTCACAGCTACACACACACATTTGTATTTCACATGACGTTTAAAAAAAATAACTTTTGCTGTATTTCACTTTCTTGTTAAGTACATGCTGTACTGAAAACCTGCCATCTCCTTAGGTGTCTAATCTGTTATCAAAATAAAAAATAAGTCCCTCTGCATCACCACAGATTATGCCAGCGAATTTTATTTCTCCATACTTGACACATCTCCCACCACGGCGATATACCTCCTTCATTTTCACCCCGGCTTATTGAATGTAACTATAAATGTTATTTTTCTAAGTATACCTGCACAATCAGCCGTAAAAAAATCACAAATCGTAGTATTACCGATTTCCAATCAAATATATGGTATGACATGAGGATTATACTGCATTGCATTATCTAAATATTTTGAACATAGCAATAACAGAACAAGTGGTAAAAAATTTGTGTAATAGCAAGACAATGCTTTGGTGGGAAAATCACTGTGCTTTTTGCCTTGATTATTTTATCTGTCAATAAAGAATGATATGACCAAATTTACATTGAACGATTGCGCAAAGTGGGGGGGGGGGGGGGGGGGGGGGGGGGGGGGGGGGTGAGATTACGGTTACTGCATCGCGCGCTTTCAGATGCGCTTCTGCAGCCAACTGGAACGCTCTTCCTGCCGATATTATGAAGCATTGTAGCTACACACTTTCACATCATGTAGATTGAAAACGCATGTCTTTACATTTGCTTTTTGTATTGTTTGTTTTCCTTGAAAGCAGCTAGTGTGCAACTCCAGGATGGATAGTTGCATCTGGCAGACCCTGAGAGATGGTGACTGATGGCTTAGGGGTAGAACCTTCATTCATTCATAGATAGATCACGGCTGATGATGAAGATGACGAATTAATATCAATAGTATTTGTACTGTAATGCAACGTACATTCTTGGCGTTAATTTCAGACGCAACTAAATTTGTTTTTCACATATATAAACATAAATGATTTAGCGAGGCAGCATTATTTTCAAATTGGTCAAATCTCTTGGAAATTAGTGGCATTATATCACTAAGGAATATTATCTAATGGCCCCTGAGATGTAGATTTATTCAACAAATCTTTACCACATTTCACCGTGAGGAAACATTGTGAAAGTAGCCTTGCAAGACGCCTCTGAAGTGGGAAACGCCGGCTGGAGGTGATAAATTATGGTCAAAAATGCTCGGGGATTCCCACTGCTGCAGAGGCGTCTTGCAGTCCTATTTTCATCATACTTCACCCTGCTGGTCAGGGCAGGTTGGTAATCCCCCCCTGACCCGCCAGGATGTCGCCTCTTCTTTCTCGGTGTTCGCGATCATGAGCTCGACACGTTGAGACGCAGCACCTGAGAACATCAGAGGGCATCATGTTAATGTTAAGGGAACCATGTCCATCGTTTGTTAAAGGCACCGCCTTGTTGTTAAGGACACCGTGTTGTTGTTAAGGACACTGTGTTATTCTTAAGGACACCGTGTTGTTGTTGTTTATGGAATCGTGTTGTTGTTAAGGACACCGTGTTGTTGTTAAGGACACTGTGTTGTTGTTAAGGACACTGCGTTGTTGTTAAGGACACTGTGTTGTTGTTAAGGACACTGTGTTGTTGGTCAGGACACCGTTTTGTTGTTAAGGACACCGTGTTGTTGTTGTTGTTTAGGGCATCGTGTTGTTATTAAGGAAACCGTCTTGTTAACGACACCATGTGGTTGTTAAGGGCACCATGTGGTTATTAAGGACACGGTGTTGTTGTTTAGGGCATCATGTTGTTACGGGCACCGTGTTGTTGTTAAGGGGATTGTCTTGTTGTTATAGACGCCGTATTGTTGTTAAGGGCATCGTGTTGTTGTTAAGGACACCGAGGTGATGTTGTTAAGTGTATCATCTCCCCACGCGTCTGATTAAACCAATAAATAAAATAATACCTTCAGACGAGGGCTTTCACTGCAACGGAATTTCCTCTGGTACCTCATTATTACGTCCTCCATTTCCTGGAGCTGAAAAAATAAGTACCCATACTGAGACAGGTGCAGCCTTGCTTGTACGTCTGTCAATCCACTTCTGGATTAGGGTCTCCCCATGCCAGACTGCTTACGTGGGCTACGTGTCTACATGTACACACTGAATCTTGACTTAAAGCTTTCGTGACTGCAATGAATTCATATTCTTTGGGTCTTTCAGTAAAGTCACGTAGATAGGTTAAAATAATAATAAAAATAAACGATCACAACACAAGCGATCGTCACCTGATGACGATCGCTTGTGTTGTGATTGAAACGTTGTAGTTTTTTCGGTTTTTTTATTAACCTATCTCCGTGACTTTACCGAAAGACCCAAAGAATATGTATGAAGTATTCGGAATGACGGCAGGAAACCACTTGACGGGTAGCACACTCTTTTATTAAATCTTGACTTGTAACGATACAACGTGTGGTCTCTATTCTCACACTACACACTCCACTGACACGTGTGGTCACTACTTCTCCCGCTACACACTCCACTGACACGTGTAGTTACTATAACTCACGCTGCATGCTCACACTGCATGCTCCAGCCCCGTAACGTCCATGGAGCCTACAGACCCACCCCAAGCTTGGGCGTGGGTCACAACCTCTGGGTCCCGCGAGCCGGCCCTCACACGGACGTTCGGCCCCGGGTCCCAGGGTCCCGCCTCTGGGTCACACAGAGCCCCGGTCCTTACAAGGACAGCGGGACTAGGTGCCGCAGGGCCCGATCTCTTCCTCCTCCGTCTTCAGTCTTCGCTGGTCACCAACTCAACCGTGCGCCTGTGCGCACCCCCTTATATAGCCCCCGCTCTCGGGAGACGGAGCGTATGCGGACCTCAACGTGAGCATCGCTCCTTAGTTGACCAATCACGACGCGCTGTTCCTACGATCCGTTTTCCCCAGCGCGTGTTACCACTCCACAACCAATCACGCCACGCTGCCACACGATCACTCCCTCTCAAGCGCGTCACCGGCACACAGCCAATCACAACCACATAACCCCCGACCCCGCGCTGACCCCTGATCCCTCACCGTCAGCTCGCGTCACCAACTCACACTGCCAATCACTACGCGCTGGCACACGATCCCCACCCCAGCGCGTATCACCACTACATCACCCCCTCCCACATAGCTCGCAGCCGGCCCGGCTGCTAAACAACAACACAACACAATGTCAACACAACAAAAACCCCACCCCCCAGTGTGCCCCGTAACGCAACAACAACAACAACAATAACCTATGTACAAATTGACAACCAACACAATAAAAGTGAACAACAATACCTAGATAAGAAGCTATGTACAGCCCGACGAACAACACAATAAAAGCAAATTCCAGAAAATGAACGTGTCCACTGTCTCTGTGAGATAAACGCAGTGACGAGGCGTTCCGTCTGCCTCGACTCCTCATTCGGTAGATCATAAAAAGTAGCGCGATCTAGCGCGAGTCCGCCTGGCCGGTCCGTCGTATGGGACGGGACTCTGACGACCGTCCGGTGGCTCCGGCTGCTCTGGACGGCGCGGATCGGGTCTGGAAGGACCGGCCGCGCCGCGAAGATCCGGCCGCCGGTCGTCGGCAGCTGTCAGTTCTGAGACACCTGGGAGCGGATCAGGCGGAGACATGTGAGGATCAGGCAGAGACATTTCCCCCCTTGGGTCGTCGGTCACGTCACACGCTCGGCCCTCACGACACAAAGGGGGGCCATATGGAGGCGAGAACGGTTTCAGTCGGGAGGGGTGGACGTACCAACGACGCTTTCCCCATTTTATCTGAACGCACTGGGGCCGTGCAACCCGCACGACCTCCACGGGTCCCCGCCATGGCTTCAACAATTTAGGCGACGTAGCCAAAGGTGCCTGAGGGCAATGCAGCCAGGCCCTATCACCTGGTTTCCAGTCGTGCACGGACACCTTCCGTGCACGCAACCGCTCGTTTGCAATTTGGCGAGCCCGCAAATTAAGCCGTGCGGCCTCCCTCGCCTCCGTCAGCTTGTGAATATTAAATTTAATATGTTCAGCCAATTTCGAATTTGTTCGTGGTGCGGACAGGCCCAGCTGCGTTTCCATGGGCGGGTCGGCTTCCCGACCGTACATCAGATAGAATGGGGAAAATCCCGTTGCGAATGGGGGGCCATTCTATACGCGGCGAGGACCCCAACATGTGCCTCACACACCCGCTGGCACAGCATAGAAGTCAAAGTCCTGTGGAGTCTCTCCACCATCCCGTCCGTCTGTGGGTGGTACGGGGAGGTACGCACCTTCTTAGTACCCAATAGGTCGCACACCTCTTGCAGCAATTTACTTGAAAAAATTTTCCCTTGGTTGGTCAGCAAGCGTTCGGGAGCCCCTTTGTCCAGGACGTAGCCCTGGACAAAGGCGTCCGTCACAGCCGCCGCCGACTGGTTGGCGAGTGGCCACGCCATAGGCCACCGGGTAAAATATTCGACCCCCACCAACAGGTACTTATTACCCCTAGGCGTGACTGGAAAAGGCCCCAAAATATCGAGCGCAACGAGCTCGTTAGTGCGCGAGACCTGAATAGATTGCAGCGGTGGATTAGATGCCATGGGCGGTGGTTTCCGTCTGGCGCACTCAACACATCCCTTTAGAATATTCACCACGTCACTCCCCATCCCCGGCCAATAATAGTCACGCTGAAGCAGAGCAAGCGTTTTGTTTACTCCCAAATGCAAGAGGCGTTCATGTGCGGCCAGGACAACTTTCCCCCTCACAGCGGAAGGCACCACAAGTGCGTGCCGCCGGGACAAACTGTCCCATCTCATTAATAGGCCTTGCTTAAGTACCCAGGAGCCATTCCGCTCCCGGCCCTCCTCGGGACCCCCCACCCTGCGGCGCAATGCTAGCAGGGAGCTGTCCGCCATTTGGAGACGGCCCCACTCAATCAGCGACAGTGAGAGCAGCGAGTCCTCTCCCTCAGGGTTAGCGGGAACATCACCGATCAGTGCATCCGCGGTCGCGGCCAATGCCCCCATACTTTCCGCAGCTGGCGGTTTACAGCGCGCCAATCCCATTAAGCACGCACATTTGTGACAAGGCGACAATCGCGACAGGGCAATGGCGTTAGTGTGGCGCAACCCCTTACGGTATGTGGTCGTGAACTGATAGTCCTGGAGGACTTCCAACCACCGTGACAATTGGCCCGAGGGTTGGGCGACCCTCAATGAATACTGAAGCGCCGCGTGGTCCGTCCGGACCGTAAAGTGCCGGCCATAGAGATACGGTCTAAATTGCTGTACAAAAAAAACAATAGCCAGCAACTCGCGACGGGTGACGCAGTAGCGCTGCTCCGCCGGCGACAAAACCCTGCTACCATATGCGACCACCCTTTCGACTCCCCCAACGACCTGTGAGAGCACCCCCCCAATGCCCGTGTTGCTAGCATCCGTGTCTAGCAAGAAGGGACTTGAAAAGTCGGGATAACGCAAGGGCGGGGCACCCACCAAGGCGTCCCGGAGGGAGCAGAACACGGCCTCCTCCTCCAGGCCCCATCGGAACTTGACTCCTTTTGCCGTTAGAGCGTGCAAGGGTTTTGCAATGGTGGCGAAATGCTCAACGAATCGGCGGTAGTAAGAAGCGAAACCGATGAAACTACGCACGTCCGAAACCGATGTGGGCGTTGGCCATGAACTGACACAGTTCGTCTTCGCGGGATCAGTAGAGATCCCCGAAGAATCGACAATGTGGCCCAAGTATCTCACGGACTTACGAAGAAGGTGGCATTTGGCAGGTTTAAACTTTAATTTAGCCGATCGCATCCGCAAGAACACCCCCCGCAACCGCTGGAGGTGTTCCTCAAACGTTTTACTGAAAACAATGACATCGTCTAGGTAAATCAAGCAAGTATCCCATTGCAAGCCCGACAAAACCAACTCCATTAGGCGCTGAAACGTCGCGGGAGCGGAGTGAAGTCCCATGGGTAACCGGTTAAACTGGAACAGGCCTCCCGGAGTCCGAAATGCTGTCTTAGGTCTAGACTCATCGTCGAGTGGCAGCTGCCAGAATCCTGATAATAAATCAAGAGTAGAAAAATATCGCGCACCGGACAATGCATCGAGGGACTCGTCCATCCTGGGAAGCGGATACGCGTCAGCCACAGAGATTTTATTCAGGCGACGGAAGTCTACGCAAAATCGCAAGGACCCATCTTGCTTTTTAACCAGCACAATAGGTGCTCCCCAAGGACTGGAAGAAGGCGAAATAATGTCGGCCGCCAGCATATCGTTGACGGCCGACTGAACGTGTTCCTTCTCAGCAGGACTCAGCCGGAAGGGATTGAGCCTGACCGGTGGCGCATCACCCGTTTCAATATGGTGGCGCAACAGGTCCGTGCACCCAGTGTCATATTTATGCTTACTGAACACATCAGAGAATTCTATCAGCAACGCACGCAGCGCACCCAACTGTGCCGTTGACAAATCGTTCGAGTCCGCGCACAGCGAATCGACCCATTAAAATTCCTCCCTCGATGGATTGTTCTGCGCCGGGCTTGGATCAACATGCGCAACCAGGCGCTCTTCCGCAGGGACCCGTGCCGCGTGAGCTAGCACAGTGCCCTGCTGAATAACGACCGGCTGCGAACCAGCGTTTAAAACCATCACGAACGGGTCCTTGTCAGCCCGAACCAAAGTGTGAGCCACTGACAAATCGAGGCCCCCGACAGCCCTATTTGAAGGACCCAAAAGCATGTCCTGTTCCGAGGTCCCCCCAACCAATGGTTTCCTCAACCGGAGGGGAATTAACATCTGTGAACCCGGGGGCACGTGCACGGTCTGTGTCGCCAGCGCTTGTATCATAGCGCACGCCGTCCGAATTTCGGTAGGATTCGCCAAAAATGAAATACGGCGACCCGATGGTAACTCAATGCAACGCTGATCGATGAGAATTTTAATGGGCATTTTAGCCAAAAAATCTGTGCCCAACAGACAAGGAACCGCTAAGGACGAAGAAACGAAAACGGGACCCGACAATTT